ACCCTTCACCGAACCTTTCGTCCCATGGGATCTTCGCGGTGTCCATCCTTTTGGACAAGTTTAGAGCCATAGTGTGATGTTGAGCAGCTAAGGGCCAGAGCTTCGTTGGAAGTCCTGCCTGCAGCAAGTTCGCCCGTGTGCCCTCGAGCACAGTTCGGATCTCTCTCTCAACAACAGACTTGCTCTCATCGACGTAAGGTCGTGAGGTGTTGTGACGAACTTTGTATTTTCCAGTAGCATTCTTGAGTTCGGGGGCGTTGTCGGAGTAAATGATCCCTGGTTCATCATCTACAGTGAAGTAGTGCAACAGGCAATCATAAACCTCTTCCGACTCCTTCGTACCTGCAGGGTACACATAACGAAAGTTAGTGAACACGTCCTTAACCACAAGAGCAACTTTCTCACCTTCAATCCCAAAATCACGCAAGTCCTTGGTCACGATGTGATCAATTGTCACGTGGTCTCCGAACTTCTTCGAAAAGATAGTGGAGCTCCCCCCTCGCTTTCTGGCATGTGGCGCTAGCATTTTGGCCTTTTGGCATACCTTGCAGAAAGGGTTCTTAGGACGGTGGGTGAATTTGTGCTCCGGGCTATTGGCCTGCAGCTTGAGCTGGGCTGAACGTTTTTCGTCCTTTGGGTCAGCTTCAGCTTCTCTTTCGCTGTCAGGCTCCGGCTCGGGGTCATCAACAGGTCTTTTAAAGATCGTTATACTGAGAATGCAGGCATCAGAAGGGAGCTTGGCTATCCGATTGTCCAACGTCCTTACATCCACGTCTTTTTCGATCTCCTGCCATTTCTTGACATAGGTCCAAGTACTCCGGATGACGTGCTTTGGAAACCTTGTAGCAGGCGTTCTAAAGGTTTTGGGAAAGTGCCCCACGATCATCTGTGGAAAGGAAGGATGCGAAACCCAACCTGGTTTGTTCAAGTACTCCGCCTTTATGCCTAACGGAGCAGCCTCTTTCAGTGCTTTTTCGATCCTGGGGTCGAGGCCATTGCCCGAGGATTCGCCTTCCGGCTCGGATTCTGCTGCATTGGCGTGCCTTAGTAGGCCGCTGAACGGGGAAAACCCGATGTTGCCTGGATGACTGGCGAATGAGCCGCCTTCTCATCCTTGGCGGGAACAGCGATTGTACCATCCCCAATTACCGGGACTCGCCCGCGCAGCTTGCAGTAAAGTTTCCGGCCTTCGGGTGTCACGAAGTAAGGCGTCTTCCCTGCGTACCAATGGAAATCAAAACCCTCGTCCATACATCTCCTACCAACAGAGCACACCGGCGGCGTTGAATCTAGCACGTAGCATTCGAGGATTTTGTTGATTTCAGGGACCTCAAGCTTAACGGCTTCATTACCTTTTACCGGCCCATTGGCGGTGATCAGAGAGACAGGACGTGAGGCGGGTTCTATGGGTACGTCGGGGAAGTGAGTTCTGCAGTCCGACTTGCTGATGAGGTCCTCTTCACTTCCGGTATCCGCTAGGAATTCTAAGCCGGGGACCAGACCTGCACATGACGGACGTGCAAGTCGCTCGCACTCCTCGCAGAGGAAGCCTTCCTCCATGCATTCATACCCGCATCCCGCAGGCGTGTCGTGAACCATGCATTCGATCATGGTGGCAAACTGCTTTGCCCACACAAGAGCCCTCTTCAGATCCTTAGGATTCGAGCGTGGACATTTCTCGACAGTGGGATAGACTTCATCATAAACCCTGGGAAGGTAGGCATGCTTTCTCTGCTTTCCTTCCGGTTCGATGGCAATCATTTCTACTGTGCTGTCGAAACTCACCTTAGGGAGTTCTTGCATGTAGAAGATCGTCTTTCCTACCCATGTGCTGCCGGGTCCTTTGGTTGGGGTCTTCCTCCAGTTGTAGATCTTGTTTCCCACAAAAGGGGAGACCGGCAAAACCTGCTCGAGCTTAGCTTGGCTCCTAAGCTTCTTGGGGTTCACAGGACATGAATTGTCAGGAACATACCAATCCGTTCGGTACTTCTTGTGATGGCGGATGATTTTGTTGCCGGTGAAGTCTACCTCCCAGTAGTCCTCGTCATGTGACGCTGCCATAGCGAGTTTTGGCGTGATCTCAAGATCCGCTGTATTCTCGAACGCGATGGCGCATGCGGCCGTTTTGGGGGCCTTGTCACTTGACTTAGCCCTGGGACTTCTCCCTCTGCGCGGAGCAGGAGAGTTGGCCCTGGGTGACCCTGGCTTTGGAGCTGCCGGGGCGGCTTCGGACTTGGGTGCGGGAGCTGACGGCTTCTCTATATCCTTATGCTGGAACCGACATTTGTCACCCTTGTTGCAGTTGCCTTCTTTCCAGAACTTGCATGTCACGTTGATTTTCTTCTTTTGTTTGTCGCCTTTGGGGGACAATGATCTCTTCTTGTGAAGGAAAGGGCAGTTATTGCCTCGCTTGCAAGTTCCTTTGAGGAAATCGTAGCATACTCCCTTTGGGCTAGGTGTCCTAGGCTTGCTGGGAGACTGGGATCTACCTTTGCTGGGTGATCTTGGCCTTGGGCTCTGCGATCTGCCACGGCCTCCTCTTGAAGAGGGGCTGGAAGTTCGGCCAGGAGACTTTGAGGCAGGGGCACCGTACTTATCTCCGTGAGATCTTGCGATGCGGTCACGGTTCTTGCGTTTGCGCTCTCGGGTCAAAAGATCCTTAAGTGACTTCACAAGAAACCTGTACGTGTGCTGATCCGTGCCCTCTGATGCCCTGTCGTAAATCTCAAGATCGTACTTTAGCCTCTTGGACTGCCTGAGTTCACGAAGGAAAATGTCTCTTAGGGTCGTTTCGTCCGGTGTGTGGCTAAGTCCAGACATGACAGATTCCCAGTTGCTAATGAACACTGAAAGGTCGTCATTGATTAACCTTACTTTCAGCAGGTCCTCCACGGAGTACAGTGAGCCAACCTCCTCGTTCGTCTTGAAGTACTGATCGAAGAGGTAGAGCACCTGTCGTCCTCGTACCGCCCTGAATTTCGCCGCTTCTGTCTCCTTAAAAATGAGGATTTCTCGGGAGAGTTCTCCCCTAGCGACTTTGGTGAGTGCAGCAAGAAGTTTCGTGTCAAGGGTGAGGAATTTCTCAGGGTCTCGAAGGGATTCCTGCGATGCGTCTTTGTCGTAGGCCTTCATCACCCATTTAAACGCCTCATCAGGAGAATCTGAAGCTGCCCTGACCGCTTCCCTAGCTGCCGTTTTCCATGAACGATACGACTCTGGACTTGGGAATTCCGGAAGGCTGATGGACTCTGCTTCTTTCACTTTGGGTTTGTCAGCATCGACTTTGCTCTCACCCCTTATGGTTCTTAGGCTTTGAAGAATTGCCATTTGGGTCTCTAGGAGACCTGTGTTGAAAGCCTCCGTCCCTGGCGTGCCGGAATCGGCCGCTGGAGGGGCCGCTGTTCCTGGCGCTGCCTGGGAAGGTCCTGCCTTGGGGATTGAAGATGCTGTTGCAGACGGAATGGACTGAGCATTCAAACCTCCTGGGTTCATTGACTCGAACAGACATCTGGCACCTTGGGGGATTACGTTCGGCATTGAGAACATGGGCGCTTGAGGAGCTTTGGGGACAACAGAAGGACCTGCAGGGGTGCTTGGAGCAGGCACTGGCTGACTCTTTGGAGTAGCTGGATTGTACTGATCCAAGACCTTCTCTAGTGCAGTTTCCGCAGAATCCAACCTGTCCTGAAGCTCTTCGTTCTGTTCCCTACATACAGCAAGGGACGCCTCATACTCTTCTTTCTGCCTGTTCCTAAACAACTCGAAGTGTGCTTGGAACTGTTCAACCATGACTTCCTGGGAATTCTCGACGTGCCTTCTCGCCTGTTCTTCGAGGTTCTGTGCAAAGCGTGATTCCGCCAGATGTTGATCCAATGCGTCTGTGATTCGGCTTTGTTGAAGTTCCGCTAGCTCTTGACGCAACCTTTGATCTTCGTCATAGGAATGCGCCTGACTTAAAGTCATTTCCGACAACAGGAGCCTTTCGCGATTTGCCGCCTTGAACTCGCTTTGTGCCAAGGCTGCTTGCAATTCTGCCACCACTTCAAGGTGGTTTCGTTCTGCTCTGTGCTCCAAGTCAGCTGTGTGAATTGCGGATGCTTCTTGATAGGTCAGCATGTGTTGCCTGTGTCTAGCTTCTGCCTGAGCCTCTAGTTCTCCGACTTCCAGTCTGATCTGGTTAACGTGTACTTCGACACTATACTGTGGTGCGAAGACGTTGAATTGTTGGACTGAGGCTGGTGCCGGGAAAACTAAGCCGGGGGCGCCGCTCCCTGTATGGCCACCCGTGACCGGGGGCTGTAAAGGGTTCACGGTGCTTGTAACTGTATCCATACTTGCAGGAATAAGTTCGGGTTCGCTCATGCGCTGATTGATTGTATTGTAACCAACCAGTTGTGACCAGGCCGTAGGCTATACGGCTGATAACCTATAGTTGTTGTAAACCACTGCACACACGCACTGTTGTATATACCCGTCCAAGTGATAACAGCACGGCTTGTACCATTCGGTAACTACACCTTTTTACTGCCAGAGCACTTGTGCCACAACGTCACCACACAACATGCTACTTCACACGTGCACAAATTACAACCCTAAACCCTAAATCCTAAATCCTAGACCCCAAACCCTAAACCCGTTTTTCCTTGGCTTAACCCCTTAAGCCCTAAACCGTCGAACCCGAAACGCCTTTTGAAGCGTCTTCGACGGGGGGTCCTTCGGGCCGTTCGGCTGGAATGTTGGGGTTTACGGATTAGGATTTAGGGCTTTAGGAAAAAGCTTAAGGTTTAGGGTTTAGGGATGAGGGTTTAGGGTTTAGGGTTTAGGATTTAGGGCTTTAGGAAAAAGCTTAAGGTTTAGGGTTTAGGGATGAATCTGAATCGAGCTTGGGGCATATTGTGGTATAGCTTGAAGCAGGAACCATAGGGAAAAAGAATGGTAAACAATAAACCCTAAACCCAAAACCTGATCCAGGCCTTTATCTTAGGAGATTAGGGCCTGTCCTGCCGACGGTGATGTCCAGCTTCCTTTGGAGCAGACCTTACAGTGCAGAGGCAGCTACTTTGTTGTGGGGCTTGTAGGGTTTCATGGGACTTCCAATTGTTTTTAAAACATTTTTAGGAGGTTCTTGCAAGGGTTTTGGAGGGCCTGGGGTTGGGTGACGAAGGTCTTGGTACGGCTTTTGGCTTACTGAAAAAGTGCTAAGGGTGTGTTTTGCAAGGGTTGTAATTAGATGGGAGTCGGTCTTGACAATGGCAGTTTACAGCTGTACTTGAAGATTCTTGGGTAGCTAACACTACCCAGGTAAACACCGATTGCGGGAACTGTGGGTGACGTGCTCATAATGCTACCGGGTCACTACTTCTTGCGAGAAGTCAACAAAGGTCTACTTTATTCCAAGGGTAAAAGGAGGGACTCTTAATAAGTACCCCTAGGTAATATACTCTTAATATAGCTATTATATACCCATTATATAGCCCTTTACAGGGTAGGGGTCCCCATTAAGGGTCCCTCCTTTTCCCCTTTGCCCAGAGCAAGACCCCAAATATACACTCTACGCTTCCAATACAATCATAGGGTTCCCTAGACCCCCCCCCACAGACCCCCCCCCAAAGACAAGCCCACTAGCGAAGCTCAAAGAAGCATGGGTTTCGCGGTTCGGAGTTGGTTTGGAGGGAGGAGGCTAGCGAAGCCAATTAAGGGGCTTATTGAGGAATTGATTGGGCACTAGCGAGGGCCTATTGAGCAGTAGAGGGCTGCTATTGAACGATGCCAAAAAGATCCTATTCATGTTCGGTTTTGGGGGTGGTTTCGAAGGAGGAGCCTAGCGAAGCCGACTAGGGTTTAGGGTATAAGGTTTAGGGGTTAGGCTATAGGGTTAGGGCATAATGGGTTACTATAAGTTATGATGGGGCACTAGCAAAGGGCCGTTTAAGATTTCGGCTGTGGTTGAAGTATGCCAAGGCGTAATGATTAAGTCCCTCAGCAAAAAACAACTCAAGGCCTAACCCCGAACACCGGAAGTAAAGCAGCACTGAATCTCAAACCTCCAAGTCTCCAACGCTTTCGAACTAGCCCCTACATGCCAAAACTTGAAAGGCCGAATCCGGACCCTTAAATCATGTTCCCTTTTGGGGGTGGTTCGAGGGAGGAGCCAGCGAAGCCAATTGAGGGGCTTATTGAGGAATGGATTGGGCACTAGCGAAGGCTTATTGAGCAGTAGAGGGCTGCTATAGAAGGATGCCAGGGCCTATTCCTGTTCGGCTTTGGGAGCAGCTCAGGCGGACTCAAACCATCCGCCTGCCTTGTTGGCTCCCGAGCGTCACCAACAGGCTTCAATAAGAGTTTTTGCGCTATATTGAGGTTCAGAATGCCTCCTTTGAAGCCTCCCCGTTTGCAAAAGAGTGTTATTGAAGCCAGCCTGTTTCAGGAAGTTCGTTGCAACTGAGCGTTAATTTTGGCTATTGAGCGGTATCTCGTGTGGGGTTGGAAACCTGAGTCCTCATGGAGTCTGAAGCCGATGCCCCTTCGGAAGCTGGGGAAACCGATGCCCCGGAACAGGCTTCCCCAGCTTCCGAAGGGGCATCGGCTTCAGACTCCATGAGGACTCAGGTTTCTAACCCCACACGAGATACCGCTCAATAGCCAAAATTAACGCTCAGTTGCAACGAACTTCCTGAAACAGGCTGGCTTCAATAACACTCTTTTGCAAACGGGGAGGCTTCAAAGGAGGCATTCTGAACCTCAATATAGCGCAAAAACTCTTATTGAAGCCTGTTGGTGCTTAGTTTGGCGCTCGCTAGCCTAACTGAGGCCTCTGGGGCACTATTGAGCTGACATATCCCGGAGGTCAATGTATCTTAAGAACCACAAATACCGTGGCTTTCAGCCCCGACCCCCTTCATTGAAGCTCCTGTCGCCCCTCAACGAGCCACAAGCCGGCATGCTTCAACAGATACTGTGCGTTTGGGGGGGGGTCTCTGGGGGCGGGTCCAGGAAACTCTATGAATACAAGCCTCACATGCGTTCGGACAACGTCAACTCTAAGGCATATTATAAGCCTGGACCCCGAAAACCTTTATCCGGATCGATCAAATGCCCATACCCACACCGGAATGTAATTTACATCATGCTAAGGACCCCCTAAACCCTAAACCCCTAAACCCTGAACCCTTAACCCTAAACCCTAAACCCTAAACCCTAAACCCGAAACCACCTAAACCCTAAACCCTTAACCCTAAACCCTAAATTGCCATTTGAAGTAAACGTTGCCGAATTAAGGAGCTTTGCCGGCTCTTATGCTCAGGCTATCAGGGTTTAGGGGCTTCCGGTTTAAGGGTTTGGGGCTTAGGATTTTGGGGTTTTCGGTTTTCCGGTTTAGGGTTTTGGGGTTTAGGATTTTGGTGTTTTCGGTTTTCCGGTTTAGGGTTTTGGGGTTTTGACTCTATGGTTCAGGGGGCTTTAGGCCGGGGTTTAGGGGGTATTTAGGCTTTAGAAACCCCGAAAGCTCGTCTCAACTCCAAGCCACTCCCTGGAAAGGACACCGAAACCGTCTTCGACATCGACATGATCTCGCTCTTCGAAGTGGGCTTCGAGATTTCCACGCCATCTCCTTTTTTGGAATTTGGGCCGAAAACCCTCAACCCTAAGCCCTAGACCCTAAGCCCAAAGCCCTAAACCCTAAACCCCAAACCCTAAACTCTAAACCCTAAGCCCTAAGCCCCAAACCCTAAACTCTAAACCCTAAGCCCTAAGCCCCAAACCCTAAAGACTAAGCCCAAACCCTAAAGCCCTGGCTTCGGAAACAAACTCTCCGTGCACCTGGGGCTGAAGATGTTGGGAAGAACGGCTTCCCGCAGGCCGTTAAAGGCCTTTAATATAGGGACTTTAATTAATAATTAGAATAGGGTTCCCTTAAAGGGCTCCTTGTAAAGGGGAATTCCAGGGCTACTACTGTATAAGGTTCTATAAGATAGGGGCCTGAATAATTAGACTTGGGCTTTGGGACATGTTATACTATAACTAGAATAAGGAGCCCTAGGAATAATATTGCTAGTTATTTAGGCCCCTACATTCGGCTTTAGCGTAGACCTGAAGCCGCCAACGTCGAACCCCAAACCCTAAGCCCAAAGCACTAGCACTAACCCCTAAACCCTAAATCCCGAAACCCGAAACCCCTTAATGCAACCCTGACTAGAATCCTTAAGGCACCCTTAAAAGCTAGATCCAAGTGAAACACTCTTGTAACTATAATATAGTCTCGTAGCGCTTTAGTCTCATATCAGCTGATATTCAGGAGCCCGAAGCAACAATGTCAGCACGTATTCCCCGACCCCTACTTGGAGGTTCATGGGTAGTTTTCAGTGGCGGTTGTCAGTAGGATAACTATAGTTATAAAACATATTAGGGGACGCATAACCCGACTTATCACTACCCAGAACCGTTAAGTATAGCACCTGATTCCTGAGTCCTGTGATCGAGCCTTCTTTAGACCCTTTGTACAGCCCCAAGCCCTCAACCCTAACACCACCGCCTAAACCCCTCAACCTCGAACCCCAAGCGAATGTGTAGCACAGGGTTTGGGGGTGCATTATAGTGTATGTCGATTTGAACTATATGGGGTTGTAGTAGTGAGTCTTCCGACCTCTGTAGTACCAGTTATAAACCATATCAGGGACTGATAACCCGACTTAAAACTACCCAGAGCCTCCAGGTACGGGACTAGTAATTCTTCCGACCGACCTGTATTAGAGGGACCTTAATAATTACCTCTACTATTTTGGTGGTTCCTCAGTATAATTATACACCCCAAACCCTTGTTCGAGTGAGTGAGTGAATGGCCTAGGGTGCACTCCGGCCGAACGGAAACCTTCCCTCCCGCCATCTCTTCCCCCCTCCGTTTTCGTCATCGGGGGGATCCGGCAAGAGTTCGACGCTCCGAGCCCCTCAACCCAAGCCGGGAAAAGTGCCACCCGAACCTCCATGGGCCCGCCCGCCCAAGCTCGGCGGCTTGGGCTGGATTTGGACACTTGGCAAGACAGCCCACTTCTCAGGAACTGAAGCTCTTCCCCCTGTGATCCCTCACACGAGTACTAAGCTGGGGACACTGGCTTGGGGAAAGGGCTGGGGGTGCTGGGTGGCCAAACCAAACACGCACACACGCACCGGCAGCAAGACTAAGGGAAAAAGCAAGCTCCGCTGATCCCCTTGTGGCTGCGCAGACTCAAACACTATGCCCTCGGCGCGTGGGGCAATGCCTGTAACTGAAGGCACCCAAACCCTTGTTCTAATTATTAAGGTCCCTGTATTATGCTGCAGGCCCCATTGCATTTGCAATCCGAATCCAAGGCTCCCAGAAACTTCCTGAGCTCGCCCTCCCATTGCTCGAGCAGGTGGGACGGACACCTTTCTCTTCTTCTGCTTGCCGGGCTTGAGGTTTGGGGTTGAAGGCTTAGGCTTTAGAATTTATGGTTGGGGTTAGGCAGGGCTTCTCTGATTGTTGTGTGGTGTATCTTATCGATTGTCGCTGTCGTTGCTTGCCTCTTCTTCTTGCTCGATCTTCTGTTCTGGCTACCGTTTTTGTCTCCGCTGCTTTCTCTGACATTTTTCTGCTCATGCTGTAGCATGGGCCCTCCTTTTGCACGGGAGACGGGTGAAGGCGAGAAGGGTGTAGGGGTTTTGGGAGCCAACAGTTTTGCGGTTGCGGTTCAGGGTTGGGAGGTTTGGGGATTTAGATGGCTTCCCCACGGAATTCCGAACCACCCGCACTGTTCAGGAGGGTTCGGGTGCCGAGCTTAGGCCGTCAATCCAAATCTTTCAAAAACCTGAACTTTTTGGAATCAAACTTTCCCCTAAACCCTAAACCCTAATTCTAAACCCTAGGGTTTAGGGTTACGGTTTACGGCTTCGAAGACACAAGCAAAGAGCCAGTGCAGAGCTTCGAGAGCCTTTGAGAACGCGTAAACGAGGCCTTGGAGAACCTCTTTGAAACTCCTACATGGGTGGTTGTCAAAATTAGGGTCCCTTTTTGGGTACCCCTAAAAAATAGGTGCCGTACTATAATAGGGACCCAAAAAGGGACCATAATTATTTTGACCACCACCTACATCAAAGAGTCAAGGGAGGGGCCCTTAATGGGGATCCCTACCCTACGACAGGCTATACAATGGGTGCATAATTTATATATAATAGCTATAGGTTTAGGGTTTAGGGTTTAGGGTTTAGGGCTGTATACCTTTTATCAATGGACTGCACCCTAAAACCCTGGACCGCGAATGTCGCAGCCTACTCCCTCTTTTGGCAGAGGCACATGATGAGAGTTGCAGCAGTTGGGATGAACCCCTTGGACTTTACGTCGGTCCTGGGTGGGCTGAGCAGCTTGGGGGTTCAGGGGCTTATGGCTTCAAGGGACTGGAGGTTGATGGGGTTCCTTTAAAGGAAGCTATAGGGGTACCTTTAAGGGGTTCCTTTAAGGGATCTATAGGGGTTTTAGGGTGCAGGGAAACAAAACCTGCATTACCCATAACAAGGAATATACCATAGTTCCTATAGTTTAGGGGCATTAAGGTAATGCAGGATTTGTACTATCAACCGTAGGGCTTCAAGGGACTACAGTAAACCCCATAAAGTTGGAAACCCGATTTAGGCCAAATAGTGCTGGGATTCCCTATACATTACTCTTAAGGATTGAGGCTATTGGGTTTCCAACTTTTGGGCGTCTACTGTAAGGGTCGGAGTTTTGTGGGTTTCGGGGATTCGGATTTCGGTGTTGAAGCTTGGGAACGGGGGCTTTGCATCTTGGGCTTGGGGCTTTGGCTTGGGGCTTTGGGGTTCAAGGATCAAGGTTTATGTAGTGCTTAGGCTTTGAGGTTAAGCAGCACTTTGGGAGTTTAGGGTTTACGGCTCTGAGGCTCTTTGCGTTTAGCAGGGGAAACTGTAGGGTTTTAGGTTCAGGTTTAGGCTACATGTTACACAAGGCTTCAGAGGGGTGCGAGAAAGGCCGGCGGGCATATCGTAAAATGGCATGCTCCGGAAGGGTTCAGACTCCCTAGCCCAAGACGTAAAGGTGCAGGATTTCGTTAAGGAATTTGTTTAGGGCTCCTTTAAAGGGCCCGCTCAGGGATCTATGAGGGTCAAGGGCTTAGGCTTCAAGCCACAAGGGTCTAGGGTTTAAGAAGGCATGGAGGAAGCTCCGTTCGTGTTTTTGCTACCGGCTTTCATGGTCTGGAGGGTTTAGGGTTTAGGGTCGGATATATCTAGATAGGGCGTGTATAAAGCTCTGCGGGAAAGAACGGTATGGAGGACAGTATCTTGAAAACCCTGCACCCCAAACACTAATTCTTGACCCCTAACCAAACCCTAAACCCAAAGCCGTACTAAACTCTAGACCTAATTGGTACATAGTATGGATCCCTCGCCGATCCCTTAGATGAACCCGCCAAGCATGCCTTCAAATGGCCCCGTATAGACCCTGAACTCCGAACCCCACATTCGAGCATGATCCATCGACGGGTTCATGATGAACGGGGGTGAGGAATCTATGCAGGATCTAGATATACTAAGGTTTAAGGTTTCTCTTGAAAGGATCTGTATGTAGCTTTGGGGTTTATGTTCTGAGCATGACTTGAGCATGGCCTTTCAAAGCGGGTCCCCCTTGGATTTTTGCGGTCCTGTAGGCTAGGGTTTGGGGGACAGCGTCTCGCTGCCCCCTGAGGCTTAATGTTTGCAACTCACGGTCTCTTTGAACCCTGAAGTTTACAGTGCAGAGCTTAGGGTGTAGGGTGTAGGGCTTAGGGCTTCAGGTTCAGGTTTAGGAGTTTCCGAAATAGGGGACCCTGATATGGCACGCTAAATAGTAGGATCCTCATTATAAGGACCCCAAAATAAGGTACCCCCAATTTTCGGAAACCCCCTAGGGTTTTGAATTACCGTGCAGCGCAACAAAAAATCTCTTCTCAAGATGCACCCCAGGAACCAGGCGGGCTGCGGCAGCTTACCCACCTCCGTCAAGCAACAAGTAATTGGGCAAAAGAGAGGCCTGAATAACAAGAACTGGAGCTTTGGGGTACATTAAACTATACTATACCCTAGACCCTAAACCCTAAACCGATAGACCAAAGTACACCAAGGAACTCTGGGGAATGGTGTCGGTAACCATTTCGGCTGGTTTGTCCACTGAGGTCCAGGATTCGGCACTCAACAAGCCGCAACCCCAAAAGCTAAAACATTAACCCCAAAACCCAAAGCCCGAAACTTTCTCTGCATTAAGCCCTGAACGCCAAAGCCTTGAGCAGTAAACCCTTACTAGGCCTTAGACCCCTAAACCCTAAACCCCTAAACCCTCAACCTTAAAACAAAAAACCCTGGTTGCCCTCGATACAAGCCCAGAACCCAGCATTTCGTAGCTCGGGTAAATTGCTTGTTGAAGAGCATTTATATATGGAACCCTTATAGATCACTTAGAAGAGCCCTTGTGGATCCCCTAAATCCTACATCGAACCCTTATAGAGCCCTCGTGAATCCCTTAAAAGAAACTGTCATAGCCATAGCCCCCTTTGAAGAGCATTTTGGGAAAACCCTAAACCCTAAAACCCGGTCCTCCAAGGAAGCCAGGCCAATGGCGACGCAGGTCTTCCCAAAACCCATCTTGTCGGCTAAGAGGCCTCCTGAGAAGGTGGTTCCCTCAAGGAGTTCCTTTAAGGGGCTCTTTTGAGGGTTCCTGTAAGGGGCTCTTTCAAGGGTTCCTTTAAGGGCTTCTGTAAAGGTTTATACAGGGCTTCGGGTTAAGGGCCCCCCCCAACCCTCAACCTTACAGCCCCAAACCTTAAACCCTCAATTAAAGAACCATTGTGGATCCTTTCCAGGGACGCTTAAAGGAATCCTATCAAATCTTAAACCCTGAAACCCTAAACCCTTCACCCCCCACCTTCGGTTGATGATACAAACCCTGCATTACCTTAAGGACCCTAAATTGTGGGAATTATGGTATATTCCTCATTATGGGTAATGCAGGTTTTGTTTCCCTGCACCCTAAAACCCCTATAGATCCCTTAAAGGAACCCCTTAAAGGTACCCCTATAGCTCCCTTTAAAGGAACCCCAGGGTTCCACCCACGGCGCCTCGAGTCGCGAGCCGATGCTCGGCCCCAGAGGCGTGGTGCTTGATCTTCCTCTTTAAGGCCTCCGCCGAGTAGCCAAACTGCCTCAACGGGTTCCTTTACGGCTCGTTTAAAGGGTGCTATAGGGGCCTCCTTTAAGGGGTTTAGGTTTTAGGATTTAGGGCTTATTTAGGTTTAGGATCTAGGGCTTAAGGGTTCCTTTTAGGGGTTAGGACTTAGGGCTTAAGGGTTCCTTTTAGGGTTTAGGGTTTTGGGCTTCGGGCTTCCTTTCGGGTTTAGGATCTAGAGCCTAGGGGGAGAGATTCAATAGGGATTGCGAAAAAGGTTACCGGTTCTATATGATACGTATCAGGGACTCAATCATCTTCTGGTTAAGGCCTCTGCTGTGTAGCCCAAGCACCTGACTTCGGTTGCTTTTAGAAAGGTTCCTTTGAAGCTTTTCAAAGTAAAGCTTCTTTGGGGTTTACAGCAAGGCTTATGGCTTTGGGTTTAAAGTTTCGAGGCTTAGGGTCCGGGTTTGGGATCAGGCTGGCCGCCAGTCAATTCCCTCGCTAGATCGAGTCTCAACCAACCAATCAGCCATTCATTCGCTGACGCCCTGATTATGAAAGTTTCAGCGGGGTGAGAGACCCAAGTTAACTTATACCCTGTAGATCCTTACACCGAAACCCCGCAAGCCTGAAGCTTACACCCCTAAACAGATGAGGGTCTGCTCAGTGTTGTGTGGTTTTATACTTAGTTGTTTAGTTTAGGGTCTTATTTAAAATTTAAGGGAATCCTTTTTTTCGATTTTAAGGCCCAAAGCTAGAATCGATAAGAACTGCAAAGCCACCCAAAAAAAAACAGCATCCAGCAAACACGACTTTTCTTTTTCGTACGCGTCGGCTGACTCTGCCGCTGCAGTAGGACAAATCTGGGCAATACAAACGACAAAAGCACTCTTCCAATTTTTCCGCACTCTCTAACATGACTCACATTGCTGAGTGACACACAACTGGAGGTTCTCAAAGATTGGCTGTGACAACCTGGCCAGCAGCAGTGACTTCAACACTGAAATATGCAAATGTGTCTGTGGCCATCGGCTAGCGAAACCAACACTTGCACAATTCAATCTTTTTGCTCCATGCTGCTCACTTCCTCAGCCCCAACGAGGAAGCCAAAACTGGTCCGCAGCAGACAAGTTCTATGCGTCATTTCTGAACCTTCCGATTCCTGCGTGACCTCCAGAGAGGACGAGGACAAGGACGTGGCATCTTCCTCATTGGGATCTGCTTGCGATTCCTGCGAGGACGAGGAGGAGTACTGGTTCAACAGACGAAGAGCCTGGTCCTCTTCTTCAAGTTCACGGTAAAGCACTTCTTCATAACACATCCTCAACCGCTGTGCGCTCGGCCAGTCCTAAGTTGGCCAATTACGATTCAAAACGAATCTCACAGTACAATAATTGTAATAAACACAATTTTTCAAGCAGGTCACTGACTGGCTCAGATACGCAACAACCCGCCGCGCCGCAGCTTCTCTTGGCTGTATACACACCGTGCTTTCGCATGAACTCGACTGCCTTCTCATTGAATATACACGGGGACGGCGCGAGGCCACAGCGAGGACCGGCAGCGAGGGCGAGCTGAGAGTTCTAGTTTCAGTTCAAAGTTCTGTTCACTCCTGTATTTTAATTTCATATCACCTCGTCTCTTTCGGATGTGACAGCGACAGCATCACGCATGACAAATGACGACAACACATCTGATCTGCTGTGACAGGCAACAGCCATGCAAACAATCAGAATCACCAGCAGGCATTGCCCAACGCAGGCAGCGCTAGCAAAATGGAAGAAGCACCGTCTCTTTGGAAGGACGGGGTCGAGTGCCAAAGCGAGGGCAGCCACAAGCAGGCCTCAACTCCAACACCCACTGAAGCCGACGGGTTGATGCATTCAGATCATTGGGACCCGTGGCAGAACACGGGCCTGTCAGTCAATGACAATGACATCGACTACACAACCCGAGGCAAGGCAAATCCATCTGAGAACTCGGGCGCCGGCGGCCTGGCTTGTCAACGGGAAGCCTGGGCTGGGTACATCAAAAGCACTGTTGGTGCCACGCGAACCGGAACTGCAGCCGTTTTTTTGCCTTTCCACAAACGATTCAAGCAAGGAGTGTTGGACACTGAAGCCAGCGAGGACGAAGACCAGTAAGCGGGCGAGGGCGATGACAAAAACCCGAGTATCATGTCACTCTGAGTTGTGGGAATCACTCATATCTGACACTTCGGCCAAATTCTCGACGAGCATCCGCTGAAGACCAGAGAGGGCTTTGACCTTCCTGTTAGACAGGCAGCAAGATTCAGACAGACAGATTGACACACGGAATCTGAAACCAAGCCAGTCCTCCTCCGATCCATGTCTGCCATCAGCTGTTGAAGACTCGTCATTGTCAACGTCGCCACACGGAGCTCGCCGTCGAGGACGGGGGCATTCTCTGCCATCTTGAGGACAAGCTTGAAGGCGGTTTTGGTGATGGGGCTGGTCGAGGGCAGAGCACATGCAGTAGGACACTGGAGCCGAGCTGTCCGTCGTCCATTCTGTCGCCAAATCCTGGTGGGCAGACAACTGACAATTTATGAAAGTAGCGCATGAACGCTGATTTCATGTACTCTTGATGTGATTCCAGCCTTCGTGGACTTCATGGCAGTCGCTCACCAGCAACACTCCTACTGAGTTCTCGTCCAGGTTGCAGATTGTTTCAAGCGCGTGTGCAAACGGTCCGGGAGCGCCCGGAACAGAACACAGCCGTCCTTCATGTCATTGACCTTCTTTCCGGCCGCGTTGGCCTTGCATGTACTCGTCGAGGCCATGGACCATGGATGGGGGTGAAGCAGGCTATTCGCCAGTCCTCATGAACTACCTCTTTGTAGACCGGAATGTGAAATCGCCATGCCAGCTCCGAGTTCGGGCATGTACTTGTGAACGTGGCCTTTTCCACAGTCGCTGCGGCAGCTCTGCTGATCGGGACCTAAAAGTCTGCTGTCGAGGGCGACGGACCGCCGAAGTGCACTGTGTCCGCCGCAAGCCTGCCGTTGCAAGGGCGGAACAGCCGCAGGCCATCCTGTGTCCTAACTGTCAGCTTCAGCATGACCATGTTGCGTGGAAAATCGCTCAAGCCTGCCGGACGCCTGACAAGCCCTCCTTCATCTTAAAGCGGTGCCCCTCCAGTGTGGCTGTGTCCTCGGCAGGCGGTAGTTTATATTTCACATTAAAAGCAGAACCAGCAAAAGCAGCAGGAGTAGGAGTAGTAGTTGTGTAGTAACAAAGTGTGATTGGTGCTTTTATTCTAGTGGCAGTAGAAGTATTAATACTATGATTATTATTAATATTAGTAGTAGTAGTAGTAGTAGTAGTAGTAGTAGTAGTAGTAGTAGTAGTAGTAGTAGTAGTAGTAGTAGTAGTAGTAGCAGTAGTAGTAGCAGGAGTAGTAGTGGTAGTAGTAGTAGTAGTAGTAGTAGTAGTAGTAGTAGTTTGTAGTATCGCTAGCGGTAGGGGTGGCGGTAGTGGTAGCTGTAGTGATAGCGATAGTGCCGGTGGTAGTGGTAGTGGCAGTAGCAGTAGCAGCAGCAGCAGCAGCAGTAGCAGTAGCAGTAGCAGTAGCAGTAGCAGTAGCAGTAGCAGTAGCAGTAGGTAGCAGTAGCAGTAGCAGTAGCAGTAGCGATAGCAGTAGCAGTAGCAGTAGCAGTAGCAGTAGCAGTAGTAGTAGTAGTAGTAGTAGTAGTAGTAGTAGTAGTAGTAGTAGTAGTAGTAGTAGTAGTAGTAGTAGTGGTAGTAGTAGTAGTAGTAGTAGTAGCAAGTAGTAGCAGTAGTAGTAGTAGTAGTAGTAGTAGTAGTAGTAGTAGTAGTAGTAGTAGTAGTAGTAGTAGTAGTAGTAGTAGTAGTCGTATAGTAGTAGTAGTAGTAGTAGTAGTAGTAGTAGTAGTAGTAGTAGTAGTAGTAGTAGTAGTAGTAGTAGTAGTAGTAGTAGTATAGTAGTCGTCATTCCAACGCGGACTCAAAGTGCTCGAGTACAGTGCAGACACTCACGCACGCTTGCGCACGCCCGCTCTGCGGCGGAAAGGCTCTGGATCGGAAAACCCTCGGTTTTGCAGGGGCGGCGGCACGCCCTGTTCCGAATAATGTTAGCAGTAGGATGCACAGTACGGAGAGTCGCCGGACCCTGGCCAGCTCTAGACTTGCGTGCGAGGGGAGTGTGTAGTTTGGGAGCATGGCTAGCCATTGCATTCCGCTGCTGCAGTGGAGAACAGGCTGTCGTGTCTCAGGTTGCTCAGGTCGGTCGGCGACGCTGATTCTGATTTGTGAGGATGCAAGGCGTGTTTGGTGGGGCCTAGCGACTAATCTGCGCAAGTGATAGGAAAGCTTGAACTTACGACGGAGATATTATCGACCTGGGATAACCCGGACTGTATACCCGAGCATCCTTCTTCAAGGCCTCCACCAGCCAAGCAAGAGCAGGAGGCACCTGCCAAGTATAGGGCAAGTAAAAGACTGATTCAAGGGCAGGGGCTTGGCGCAGCCCGGTCCGTCGACCTCTTAGCCAATTTAGCCAATTTACTACGGGCGGAATTGTCCCTTTTTTCGGGGACCACCCTTTTGGAGCCCAAAACCCGGCTTTGTCTGGGTGGCAATTGCACAGACTTTCTGCTCGGTGTGGACAGGCGCCCTCACCATCACCTGCCAGGTATACAATCAAGGCACTCAAAGCACTACATAGCAAGCCCTGCCGCTGCAAGCTCGAACAAGGATTGATCCGGGCAGCTGGCTGCAGAGCAGATTGCCACGACTGAATGTTTTGATCTGGATCGCCCCACTTCTCCCGTGGCCATGCTGCCGACGGATGCGGCGACTCTACAAGAGCTTGCTGCAAGTAATGCCGGAGATAGGCTAAACGTCCTTCCTCAGGCTGTAGGTCTGTCGGTAAAGGTGGGAAGGATTTGCTGTCAGGCACTAGCTCCGATGATGTCGTAAGGCGACGCCTCGTCCGCCGAGGTGGCGGGGGAGTGGGAGGGCGTCCGGCTCTGTCTGCTGTACTGCCTGGTCG